TCAGTTAGACGTTCTAAAGTAAGAATTTTTAAATAAAATTTGCAATTTCGAGAAATAAATGAGAAAATTCGGACAAATGCAGAATTCTGATATATAGCCTAAATTTGCGAGAAATACGGTCAGAAATAAAGTAAAAATTCTGCGAAGTAAAGGTGCAATTCCAACAAATAATGTAAAAATTTTGAGATTAAAAAGTTGCAATTCCAACAACAAAAAAATCCTAGATAAAAATCAAAATTCCAGGAAATAAATAGGCAGTTTCCACAAGTAGGCAGAATTCAGAGTTGAAATTGTTGCAATTCCGAGAAAATGTTTTTCTCAGAAACTATTTTATTTTTATCTTCAGTTGCGGAAATAGACCGCCATAATCAACAGAACAGTACCCATTGAAGAACACTATTTTACAGTTTTCAGTCTTTATTAAGCTGTACTTTTATAATTTCTTGGGTAAGCTGCTGAAGAATCAACTTGTAGAATTTCTACTTGTATAATGTAAATTGTATCAGTGCAAAGTAATATGGAAACATGTTCAGTATGTACAATTCAATGTACAAGAAAAAAAATTAAAATGTTATTACAAAAACACAATTTAAATTATATATATAAAAACATTTTAAGGCATTAAGAGTTCATTTACTATTGCAGTCCAGCACATTAATAGGGCATAGAAGAACATCATTACAAGTCAAGATTTCCTTGTGATTTTCAATGTACATCAAAGATGTGTGTAACTGGAGATGATCTGTTCTAATGCAGTAAAACTGTCCAAAAAATCCTCCTCAGAGATTCCAAACTTTGTGTACTGATGAACATAGGCCCTGCAAGAAAACAAAAAGAAACGTATTAACCATATTTGAAGATATGACATTCTTGTGTCTGCTTACCTTGAGGCAAACATATCCCATGCTTTCCTGACTATACTGTCCAGAGGCTTCAGCAGAGATTGGCTGTTGCTGATCAATGTGGCAGACTTTTCATAGCCATTGAGCGGGACTGAAGAGTTCCATGTACTGAAACTGTTTTCAGTCTGAAGCCAGGGCACATATAACGCTGGATCCTTAAAACCATCTGTGGAAATATTCAGATTACTAATTACATATATTCATAATATTCTTGCCGATGTTCCTGTTTCACGCTAGCATTATGCCACTTTCATGTAACATCAGCATTTTGTCACATGTAATGTAATTATGTAGCATCTATGGTGCTAATGGATTGAAACTATTAACTATGGTATATAGTAATTTTCAATTAAAGAGACAAGGACTCTAAAATACCATTTTAGGATATTTTACAAGCTCCTTTTTGCCCAATTTTAAACATTATTGGTTAAAAATGTTAGAAAATGTTTCAACACCATGGTTGCTTACCACTACTTTGTTGCTTCAATGCACCAGACCCTAATTTTCATTCCTGAAAACTGCTTGAAAAAGGCAGATGAGAGAAACCTCAGGAATGCTCCCAACTGAGCATTGTAGGGGAAAAGTGTGCATCATGCATTTTAGATTTACATTCTATGTGTTTTATATTTTGAAATGTATACTAAAATGACACTGGACTGTTCTGAATTTTTGTTACATCTAGTGGTGAATACTCTACATATTGACACTCTACTGCATGTAAATGTCTACAAACACATTGGGCATCTACTTGCCTGTGACTGCAGTAGAGACTTCTTTCCCTCTCAGTATTAGAAGATTAGCAAGTGATCGATTGAAATTTTTATGTCTGTTTGTCAAACTCTCTTCTGTGGCTCTGACCACTGATGGTGCGCTGACAGTCCAGTCGATTCCTTTAAATGCAAAGAAACATTATATAACCTATGATAAGCGGTTGTTATTTCTTCTGTTCTGTCTGTTTAAATCAACCTGACCCTCCTCCATCTTGGCGGTGGCAATCAGCATCTGGCGTAAATGCTTGAGCAGTCCAGGCCAGTTAAACACACTGTAAGCAAGAGAGGTGCTGGACATCTGAGGAATGTTACACAGGCTAAGGAGCTTGTACTCAGGGTGACATACCAGAGATGTGAGTAGTTCCCCTGTGGACAGCAAAAAAATGTCAGCAAGTGTCCGGGTGTGCAAAGTACAAAAAAATGTGGGGGGATCTGCACCCAAGGGGTTTCTGCAGTACTGTCCGCCTGAGTGGGCAGTGTGGGCAGGCTGCAGTATGCTAGCCAGCTGGTGAGCCATGACTTTATTGACATCAGTGATGGAGATATGTGTGATGTTCATAAGTCGACTGCAAATCTGGTGCACGGTATCATTCTCATGTACCAGGATGGCATCCGAGAGCTGGTAGAGATGAGACAGTGTCAGCACTGAGTTGTAGTTCTGGACGATCACCTGGACAGAAATACAGAATTTAGGGATAAAGACCCTTTTACATATACCACATGATCAAATTGTTGAATGTTTGGCAACGGAAGTGGTGGTGTTCCCCATTACGGTGCGGTAATGAAATGTCATAAAACTGCTTTATAGTATCAAAATGTCTGGTCGTTGGGTTATGGTTGCACTAAACTAATAACCAATATACAAATATACTATAACAAATAACCACATTTCAATAGTTAATGCATTCCCTGGGATTCAAACCTATGACATTAGTGTTGCTATTGCAACCCTCTACTGAATGGATCACCCATATGATTTTTAATAATTGTAGTGGTTACCCTGGAGTAATTGACCATGTTTCTCATTTGTTAAAAAAATCCTTCTAAAAAGATATATACATTACATCCATATATCAACATTTAACAAACAATGAAAACCCCTTTGAGTGCTTTTTTATCAGACAGAACAAAATTATATATAGACATAGATCTTACAAAAAAGATGTGTACATTTTTAAACATTCATTCGTTCATTCATTTTCAAACCCGCCTTATTCCCATTCAGGCCTATCTCCAGCACACATTGTAATAACACTATTACCCCCAGAGGTGGGGGTACACCCTGGACAGGTCGCCAGTCCATCACAGGGCAACATTCACTCACACATTCACACCTAGGGGGAATTTACCGCATGTTTTTGGGGTTGTGGGGGAAACCGGAGTACCCGGAGGAAACCCACGCAAGAGAACATGGAAACTCCTTCCAGGAAGGTCACCGGCGAGCCTCGAACCGACAACCTTCTAAATGGAAGGCCACAGTGCTACCCACTGCGCCACTGTTTTTAACAACATTTAAACATGTTTTTAATTAATCACAACAAATCTCCCGAATACTCCTGAAAAAAAGTATACCCTGATATCCCAAACCGTAGGATCCTACCCCAAATATAGGTAGACTTGTGAATAGCATGGCACCAGCTCAAGTGGTCATCTATGTATTTGTCTGCTAAGCAATGGTCTGCTGTTGGGTGTAAGGGGAGGTTGCAGAGAACAACTTCCTCCTGGGGATCAACGGGAGCTGAGGATCATTGATCAGCCATACCCAATGATCAAATGCCATTCACCATGAAGAGCCATTTTTATAATTGGATGTAAAGGGTGTTGTTTTACAAAACCAGTTGTCATTAAACGTCATTGTGCTGCACACTTTTAGCAAAACAGTGCACTATACTTTTCATTCATGCCAAGCATCTTCTCAGACAAATATTTTCACCAAAAATAATTAAGAATCTAGAGGAGCCCCCTACCTCACCAGCTCCATAGGGCCATGTTACTTGATTTAGGATAAACGCGCTTGGGTAAAGATCTCTCAAACACTGGGTGATGTAGGTGCCCACACCAGAACCAGTACCACCAGCAACACTCATCATGGTGAAGATGCCAGCCAGTCGATCAGATCGCTCAATTTCCCTCCGCACCAGATCCTCCACCACTTCTTCATGACGAGGACCAAGAACACAGAACCTACAGAGTAAAACTTTGAGCACACTTACATGTCCAAGACTTTTCCCATTAGAGGTTCTATTCTTACCCATTAGCCCAGTTGTTTCCAGAGCCCTGCTTCTGGGAGAAATGGGCTTTGTCTCCATATCTCCAACTTCCAGATTTTTTAGCTTTAGTTAATGCTTGAGAGATGACTTTGGGCTCCATGTCGACAAGTACAGCCCTCGCCACAAGCTCTGGGAATAGGGAAACAATAGGGGTGTAACGGTTCACGGTATGTATTGAACCGTTTCGGTACGGCCTGTTTGGTTCGGTACACTTGCGTACCGTTTCGGTATTCTGTATTTTTATAATAATTTAAATTTATTATTAGCGCGATATTAAGCGCAGCGGAACAATGTTCCAAGGCGAGTTTCCGCACGGATGCTATTGAGTGACGAGCACGAGCGCGAGTAGGAAAATGGAATCATATCAAAAGCGAAAGAGAAGCCAGAGCTTGAAGACCCTCCCACCTCACTACACTCTCCTGTTTGAGAACACTTCGGCTTCTCTGTTAAAATACATAACGGGGATAGACGAGTGGATAAATGTAAAGTTGTATGCCCACATTGTTCCACGGAGATCGGGCAGGCAACACATCTAACATTTTCTACTGCTGGAGATATTGTCACTGTAACCAGATCTATGCTCTCTTCAGAAAATGTGGATAGGTTAATCTATCCTATCTATCCTAACTAGTTGCAGTATTTCATTTTTTATTTAAAAAAATGTGTTTTTCTTTATAAAGAGTGCAATTTATTTAAAATATCACCCAAATGTGTCACTTTTATTTATTTTATGCAAGAATTCTATTGTGTATTGGCAGCTTTTTAAAATAAAGAATATGTAAGTTCTTATTGTCTTGTACCGAACCGAATGAACCGAACCGAACTCTCCAAGACACTGTACTGAACCGAATACGATTTTAGCGTACCGTTACACCCCTAGGAAACAAGCATTGGTTTGTATTAATGCTTTTAGTGTTATTACATATAACACTAGAAAAGCAATTAGGGCTTGAGCACCGGAGGTGGATAGAACCCTATTGTAAATGCTCCTAGCAATATTATTTTGTGGAATTTGCTCGAAAAGTCATAGAATTTCACACACTTGTCAGAACAGGCTGTCCCTGATGGTCTAGTGTTCAGGATTCAGGCGATTTTACCACCGCGGCCCGGGATCGATTCCCAGTCAGGGAAATTGCCTTACATGTTAGAGTGGCACCGTGGTGCAGTGGGTAGCACTGTGGCCTTCCAGTTAAAAAGTAACTGGTTCGAAGTTCCCCTGTAACCTTCCTGGAAGGAGTTTGGTTGCTCCCCCCGTGCTTGTTTATGTCTCCTTTGGGTACTCCGGGTTACCCCACAGTCCCCAAACCATGTGGTTAGGTTAATTAAAAAAATCGACAATTCTCCTTGGGTGTGAATGGACTGGAGGTGATTTTTGTTCAGTAATTTTGAACATTCTCTCTTGAATACATATCCTAAATAAGGACTGGTCATCGTGCATATTGAAAAAAAAACTGGCCACTGATTAGTGATAGGTGATGGAGGTGCACAAGCCATTTAGATGCTGCTTGCAGTCACAAATCAACAATGTCTTTGCAATAAAAATAATAATAATAAAAAAACATACAAACTTGTAATTAAAATTAGGGCTGTGTAATTAATCACAATTTAAACACATGCATTTTCTAAATCGCACAAGACAGCAATTTAATCTGTTTTGCAGCAAAATAATTTGTTTTGGTTTTTGAGCAAAAACAGTTGCCACAATCGCAAATAAAATCGCGATATTCGTTAAAAAATCGCAGCATGGTTATTGGGTTCATATTGCAGAGCCCTAATTAAAAGGCAAATCCAGGAAATAAAACAGGAAGGTACCAAATGAACTTGCCATACACTTCTGCTAAAAAAGGGTACAAAATGTTTGCGACGCCAAATCTGGTAATGTTTTAACGTTTAGTGAAAACTATATTGTTGATGGACTTGCCTCCAGTGGAGTTTTCATGGAAGAATCTTTCATCGCTGCATTGCTTGTACTTCTTTCTGTTGGGTCCATTTGAATCAGAACTAATGATACTGAAAAGCTCGTGTCCAATCTGATTCCCACATTGACCCAACTGTAAACTCACAACCGACATCCTCTCTGCTCCTTCACAAGACGCGAAACCAACCTAGCAAGTTCCCGGAAAGACTCAAAGATAGACGTTTTATATACGGAGAAAAGGATAACCGAACGAATAAAATTATTTAAAATAGCATTGGTCACAATTGTCATTAACTTCAATAGAGACAACACCAACTCATTTCCCAAACGTTGAAGTCGGGCGGGTTAGTGTTGCAAACATCCGTGCAGATGCATCATGGGAAATTGAGTTTAAAACTGTCAATAACCAAAATATGGCGCAATAAAAAAAGAACTGCCTGTTACTCACTTTATCAGAAAGGACTAACGTTAAAGTATTAATTTTTTTCGACTGGTTTCAAATATATCACACTATTTGCTTAAAACAGCAATATAGCCAATTTTCTTGACGTACTTCTACAAGTATGTCACATGATAGCAAAGTTCAAACAAAAAGTACATTTTTACTAAACAAGAATATATTTTAGCTATAGCTCTATGTATTCCCAGCTTCCGTGCACCTTGGTTTCGGGTCGGTAGATGGCACCATAACATACAAGAAAACTAGTATTATTATTGGGCAATCTCTCAGATATGTATATGAGTTCGCATTTTTTAGTATTCTGTTTGAGATATTCTTAATCATTATTACAATATTTATAACTATATAAAAACAGACATAATAAAGGTGTTGTGCAAGGGGTCTTTTTACCACATTTCTCCGCATGGTGGCGTCAGTCAGTTCGCGTCCATGCCGGTCATGGCGACGGTGCGTTCATCTCCATGAGGCGGGAAGCGCAATCTACACACGCGGTTTGACGTGATTCTAACCACGAAATTAACGATGGCTGGGGTTTTCGACATCGATCTTGACCAGCCGGAGGACAATGTGTCCGATGATGAACTGGAAGAGGTAAGGCACGGACAGGCTCGGAGTCAACTGTTGGAGGGAGTGTTGCGTTCAGGCCCGAGGCCTCAGCAGCGAGAGTCAGGGTGGTGGATGTTATGCTAACATGCTAACGCAATCACGGAACTATGTGTTTCTTCCACAGAATAACAACGAAATTGAGTCTGTCATCATACGAGACTGAGATATACAACGTTTTGAAATTGAAATTGGTTTTCTGTTATTTAGTTTATTGTACGTGAAGTAATTAAAAGACAGTAACTTGGGTACAGTAACATTACTGTACAGTAGCAATGGAAATTTAAAGGGCTGGGCGTGAAGGTTCAACTTATCGCATTGAAAGTTGCAATGGTTACATTAAAAAAACCTTAATGGTAAATGCACGTACAACTTGTGATGATAGTTATTTTTACAGTTGTAGGGATCGGATTCAATAGATTAGGATTTGCAGTACCATAGATGGTGCATATCACCATATGGGCTCTCTGGGAATAGTATTGCGAAATACGACCCCTTACGATTTCTTGTTCGGACGAGAAGAGCTGCCAACTGTTGCCTCGTAACGTTATCTGCTCGTGTATTGATCTTCTCTTCACCCAACATACCGTTCACTACTTGTGCTGAATCAAGCGTTTATTGATTGAACATTTAACGCATCTCTTCCGCAGGCTCAGATCAGTGAGTTCATGGACCAATGCAGTGGCTTCGAGTTGTAAGTACATGTGCCTCGGAATAAAAGAAAACACTTTGAGTTGCAAACTATCCCAATTACAAAAGAAAACACGGAAATACATGTAAAGTTTTATAAAATGAACGATGTTTTGGGTTGTTTAATAGTAACATGGATGACTGTGAGAAGATTGAGATATCAGAGGACAATGTGAACCAAGGCACAGAGAACATCCGTCCAGAGTGCTTTGAACTTCTCCGGGTTTTGGGGAAAGGAGGCTATGGAAAGGTATTGTTTTTTGACTCTGTAAGCTTTTTTTTAAATTGTATTATTATTATTTACAATGCCATAGTAGTAGATTCTGGAAATGTATACATACAATATGAATTATTGTAACAATGACTTTGTAGAAATAAAAGTAAAACGTGGACTAATCAATTAATAACATTTAGTTAAACACCCATCAATCTTTATATTGACCTTGTTATTGATCATATAAAGTGAGTTACTTTTTTTCAAACTACAAGTCATACTTAAAATCCTTTAATTTAAATTGTCATATGTTTTGTGTGACTTGTAGAGTAATACATACTGTTCTTCTGCATGTTTTGTTGACATTTACAGTTTGTAGTTTTGACTCTGTACTGTTATGCATTGGAATTAATTCTTAATGGTTAGAGATTTATTCTGCAAAAAAATCATAACAAAAAAACACACACCTTTATTTATAACAAGCACCTTTTCTCCACGTTAAAGCAAAACGCCTTTAAAAAGTTATTTCAGCTCAAATAATTTTAGTAAAAAAGATGATGGACAGTAAGCTGGGCAATATTATATAAAAAAATACAATGTGTACATTTTTTTATGAATAATTATGAAATAAAGGTGTCCTCGAGGACACTGCAGATTGGTTGCGTGCATGTGCACAAAGATCTTTCGTCATCTCTCTTTAAAGCAGTTTATTCATTAGTTTCCTGTAAGTTTAGGGCTTGTATTAACATTTAAATATAAATGGAATGTGTATGTTTTATTCGGAGGTCTATTAAAATACTTTATTTGAGATTTTTGTGGCAAACGCACGTTCAATGTTGGTGAGGGCAGGTAAACCTAACCTTAGAGAAACCTACACTTGTCGCTGGGGCACGTCACCGGTGCCAGAGATGTCAGCCCCAGACCGAAATCAATCTGTAATACGTGCGGAGAGCAAGATGTCGTGTCGCTCTGTTAAAACTGCCGCTTGCTGTGTATCTTAATGTATTGCAAACGCGGGGGGCGGAAGGTGAGCCGTGCACATTCTATTTAAAATTAAAGGGCCCACATGCATTCTTATACATACTATAAAATCGATTTATCGCCCACCACTAATGGATGGAGGAAGAAACTCAACTGGCCTTTCTGCTTGTATTGCATACAAAATATCTACACAGCATTAAGCAGGACGTTTAATTAGAGGTTTTGGAACGTATAGGCCTAAGACTATGGTGTATATAATTTAATTGTGTAATTTTGTTTGTTTTTCTTGTGATTTAAAATTTTGGGTGTTTGTGAAAGAGTGCATTAGATCGAGTGATTGATGATAAACCCTGCTGATGAGGCGAGAGAAATCCTCATGGGGTGTTGAAACCCTTCAAATGTAAGTTCTACTTTAAAGTGTTTATTATTGTATTTTTCAGGTTTTCCAGGTCCGGAAAGTAACTGGAGCAGCAACAGGAAAAATATTTGCAATGAAAGTCTTGAAAAAGGTTTGGCATTACTTCAATATTCTAGGCAATGTAATGGACCTTTCTAATAAAAAGTCTAGTTGGTCACAATGTCATGTCTATTTTGCTTGTTTAGGCTATGATTGTACGTAATGCCAAGGACACAGCACATACTAAAGCAGAGCGGAACATCTTGGAGGAAGTCAAGCATCCCTTCATCGTAGATCTGATTTATGCCTTTCAAACAGGCGGCAAGCTTTACCTCATCCTCGAATACCTAAGCGGTTCGTAAATCAAGATCCTGCTTTGTTTTGTAGCGACGGATCACCGTTCTTTCTTTACACCCTTGTTATCTATGAATTTTTTTATGGCATTTTTACCACAAGATAAATTAAATCTTAGTAAAACCATAGAAGAATAAAACATCAGTTTTATTGTCCGTCTTTTGCCTTTCATTCTTTTGCAGGTGGTGAGCTTTTCATGCAGCTAGAGCGAGAGGGAATTTTCATGGAAGACACAGCCTGGTGAGAGATTATGTTTGGCTTGTAGTGCTGGTGTTTAAAGTGTCTGCATTCGGCACTGTTTGAACATATGAGTTTTATTAAAGCATCTTTGTTTTCCATGCAGTTTTTACCTGGCTGAAATCTCAATGGCTCTCGGACACCTGCATCAGAAAGGCATCATTTACAGAGATCTCAAACCTGAGAACATCATGCTCAATAATCAAGGTCTGCACGCTTCATTTTGTACACCGTATTTAATTAAATCCACTGCATTGGCTACAGTTTGTTCTTTTGT